AAATTAAAGATATTAACTAATAATAATATTAAATAACTCGTTACAGGAATAGGAATTTAGAATATAGATTCAGATGAATAATTATCTAACAGAAATGTAAGGCAAGCATTACCATCATTTACATTATAGTGTTAGAGAGTAGTAAGATTAGATAGGTAATAAAATTATATATAATATGATAGGGTCAAAGTTTGTTAATTGATCACGGCACAGGCTGCAGTAATAACTGATGCCCTTACTGCTGTTGTTTCAATTAGTGTATGCAATCTAATGTAGATCACCGTTTGTTCTTCAACTATTGCTCCCTAAGGTATATTAAAATTCATAACCATACAGATTGTTTAAAGAAGGGCAATATGAATACTCAATATTATTATTTCATCTGCTGATAAGAGAGATAATATTTATCTAACTTGTAAACCGTTAAACGTTTTCGATAAAAGTAATCACACTAATGAATTTGTTGTCGTATTGGATAATTATAATGTCATTCTGAGCTAGCCAGTAGATGTACGAGTAAGTATCCCGTTGTGTTGTGTTAACTTTGAAATGTGACGCCTGGATGTTATTGTAATGAGCTATCAGTCATTCTTACCTTGTATGTAAAACAGTAAAATCCTCATCGATCGTTCACCATACATAATCCTTGTCTCATCACTGTCTTCAAACAGGTGGAAGCAAAGATGGTAGACAGGAGGCATGGACGATTCATTTCTTTAAAGTTGATACTCATCGTGATGGTTATAGGTAAGAACTTTCTTTCGTTGATGATATTTTGACATTAACCACGTAATATCATGAAAGTGTCATTTGTGACACTTTCATAATATTTTACAAACAATGTATGTAATCAGTAATCTTCACAAATATAATTTTTATTTTTATTGTTCCACTTTCTTCGCGTTATGTTTTATAACATATATATGTATTTATGATGCTTTCGTACTCATGTATTATCATTACCTTGCTGTAGAATAAGACATTATTGCTTATTTCAACTATATAATGCACATTCAGGCTAAAGCAAATTGCTGATAATAATATGTGATTTTCTCCAACCTAAAAAAACTATGTATTTTTACTTGTAAATAATATTAAATTTTCGCCAGACATAGAAAAAAATGGATAAGTAATTTTATATCTTAAATATTGAGTCTTCTTCAAACAAATATAAATGATAGATATGTGATTTTATAATTTTGATATTAGTCTTAATCTAAATATATGGAAAAACGATAGATATGTGTCTTAATATTCGTAATATTGATTTTTTCTAAACATCGAAAAAAAAATCATATATTTTTTATATTTATGATATTAAGTTTTGTACAAACAGAGAAAATTTTTTTATTTATTTCTATATTTATAATGTTGATTTATCCTCGAACAATAAAAAATATTAATTGCTGAAACATAATTACCCTTTATTGTGTAAACAAAACCTTTATAAATTCAATACCTAGATAGCAAGAAGTAACATTTCTAATATAACATATATACGATTCTGTCTTGAGGAATCGTGATATTTTTTTGCCATCGTCTACTTTTTTAGGTTTTGTACTTGGTGATTCAGCTTTTCTGTCGCTCGCTGCCCTCTTTATACTCTTCTTGAGTATAGCTGTATTTGTTTCATATATTTTGTATCTAGAACTTTAAAATAATACTTTTAAATACAAATAGTTACAACAGAGGCAATAACTCCTTCGTCATAACATGACTCGTTAGGGCCAGAATTTTGAACTTTGGGATCCTACCGAGAACATTTCACAGGGATGTGCAATAGTCCCGAAATTCAATTAAGTTCGTAGCCTTATTTTCATACTAACATATCTTATAATTTCTGAATAACTTTTACTTCCACAGTTTTTGTCTACTTATATTTTTCCACCATACAATCGTTGGACTACACAATGACCTTTTAATACCAAAAAATGATAATATGTTATCCATGTTTTGTTTCACAACTGCATTGGGTACCAGAAAATCTCCAGACTAGGAACTGATGACCAATCACACAATCTCAAAATATATATTTAAGTAGAGTATATCAAGAATTAATGGTGGAACAGTTTGTATTTTATCTTATGTGGTTACATATAGCATTATATATTAAAATGCCAGTGACTAGAAAGGGATAGAAGTATTCAGTACGTGAGCTAGATGCGAAAAAACCCAAACAAAACCATAACATACACACAAACCAAAATATACTTACAAAAAATACAGTCCTTCTTCTCAGTCTTTCCTCTCTCCATTTATCAGCAGATATTAAATCAAAGACTCGTCCATAATTTTATCATTAGAAAAGTAAAGAGACGGAAAATACTTTCCAAGCAGCTTTGTAACGTACTCATCTTTTTTTCTTCTAAAAATTAGATTTACACAAGTGAGTAAAACAAATTAATGACTTGTTTCAAACAAAATTGCGGAATAAATCGGCTTTGGCCCATTTGTTTAATATAAGGGGAAAGTCGATATTCTACTCGTATGAATTGAAAATAGGAAATTATACGCTAATAACGACTAAAAATACTTGTACAATGTACATAGTTTTTTTGACATTTGAACATAACTTAAGATGCAAAATTAATGAACATATAAGTGTAATTATTGAACAAATATTTACAAATTACAAGAATGAAAACCTAAACACAAATTTTTATATAATATTATTTTTTTATGTTAATGACCATAGCGACCATACAACAAATAATCCGAGTACATATTGACTAAGATTATTTGACCCTACTAGACCATTGTATAAGGTTTACTTGCCGAGATATTTGTTATTAAATTCCAATGTCCTTTGTTTGTGAAGCTCGTGATTTTATCTAAAATGCTACATTTTGCACAATATTATCTGCTCGTTTGAAATTGTGCAAAGCTTCTAAACGACTCGAATGTTATTCCAGAAATTTTCGGCTATTTTTTTAACAGTCAAAAACTTTTAGTACAGTTAATTTTAAACAAGGAATTGTTTATGGCTTGGAGTTTGAAGTTCATCTATGACACTTTTTTATCCGACCCCTTGACCAATATTAGGATTCTTTAAAGAATTCATTTCTGAGACAAAGCTGCATTTTTATACACTAATATGTATAAACATATTAACGTTTAGCTTGTAATAATAACAGTTTAAATATCATAAATAAATGGTGACATCTAATAAAGTACTAGAAAAATTAGACCAAATGTCCCGAGAGGGTAAGCGAATGATGCTTCTGACACCCTTCATATAAAACTTACTGAATCCAGGTAAATGATGCCACGTTGTCAAATGGGAACAAGGTATACAACAACAGAAATACACATTCCTCAATGAGAACATTATACCTTTCGTTAAACTGCTCAAAAGTCTTCATCAACCTGCATTTTACGTAAGTCTGTGTTACGAAATTGTCAGTTGTCAACATCTTATACGAAAATCGTGATTTTGGGAACAAGCCATTGAATATCGAATTAACTGCGATATGTAATCACCATAGGTTGAAGATGCAGGAGTGTTGTTATCCAAAAATAGGAAATTTATATTGAGAAAATTGAAATCATCACGTATATCATACTGTTAGGTGGAAAGCTTTCCCTGTTGGTTTTGTTGTAGGAAAAGATCGGAATAAGCGGCTGATGTAGAAGAGAGTCGTTCCTCTTGAGTTCCATTATCACATGATACATATATATGAGTACTTACCACCAATATACTGGTCATGTGTTTTCAGTTTTGAAATAAAGATATGAAATATTGAACATAAATAGTGAATATCAATTATAATAATGAAATCATTGCATCATTTAGCACGGAGGAAATAATATCATTCCTGTTTGTGTGTAAAAATGATTTCGTGTTTGGATCGCTCTCTCGACGTAAACAACCCTATTTACAAGTTTATTATGAACGAGAATTAAAGAAATTGACGTCGCCTTGGTTTACGTGATATTGATTAAGTCACACGTCTTGATTAACGTCGCGTGTATCGATGGGTTCAGCTGGTTTATTACAAAAAGAACGCCCTATCGAAATACTCAGATAATGGTATCAGATCTCCTGGGATTCTGGAATAAGATAACGCATTTTGTTTCCCTCTTAATTGTGGACACTAGTTATTTGATGTTCTTGATCAGGTATACAAGTTTACAGATATTTATACGCTTACGTATGCGCCCTCATTAGCGGTAATCTACATACCAATAGCGGATGTCGTATTTATTCCTATCGATTGACATAAAATCACTTCAAAGTGGAAATGACACGATTGCATTCAATAATTACAACCACTGTCAACACATAAAGTATCTATTATCTCAATTATCCAATGACTTCAAAGAAAAGACCGTGGACAATATACAAATACTGTAAAAACTATCATTGACGAGTCCTTGAAGGATGAAACAGTTGCAAGAAGCGGTTTCATTGTTTGCCTATGCTGATACGCACAGCATGTAATTATTCATTTGCATTAAAACATGTCTTTATAAGTCGCAATATACCGCTCGGGAACACCTCTCTTGCTCAATCGTTCGGGCAAAATACTAGAAAACCAGAGGTCTCGGGTTAGAATATTTGCAGTCCTGCTTCCGGAAGCTGCTATATTTATATGTCATAGCTGATTGGACATTTTACAACTAGTTCTTAATAACGCAATTTTCGAGATAGATGACAGCTGATTGGTGCTCTTACAACACATGGTTTCAAGAAATGCAGATTTAAGAAATATAATATTTCCCTATGCTATATGAGGTTTAATGGGCTTTATGCCCGCTAGTTTGCCTATTGGTGTCATCTTTTAAAAACCTGTTTCGTCTGAGGAGGTGATATTACTTACAAAATAATAAAATATCAATGTTTTGGTGTAACAATAACATACTAGTAGTACTTAAACATGAATAAAATAAATTCTTCTCGTCCATCAAGAGTAAATTAATATTAACAATGTCATCAAGTGTTAATTTAAGAACGTAAATAACAGAAATAATGTAGAATCCTTGACAACAATTTTTCAAACATGACTTACAAATATAAGCTTTTTTCACGCACAGGTGGCGCTGTAAGCGTTTTGTCGAATAAGTCTTTTGAAGGACCGCCTGACATCGACGACGATTCATCTAGTAAGGAAGAGTCTTCTGAAGGCGAAGATTATGATTCGTTTAGCAGGAGTGCGGAACAGGAGTTGCGATTAAGAATATTTGACCCACTTAGTTATGATAAGTTAATTCGTCCACAAGGTGTTGTGCACGTGAACTTGACCATCCGGCTACAACGTGTTAACAAACTGGTAAGTAATTTTATGCAAACTGCTGTCTATAAATCAATTGTTCCGATATCAATAAAAAATATGACAGTTTTTACGGCGTATCCAAGAACGTTTTTATCATAAGATAAATAGCAACAAAACTTGAATGGACGTGACTTAAAGCAATGCATATAGTACAACTGAGTCTGCGCACACGTCTGTGACTTAGAGTGTTCATAAGTTACATTTCAATAATATATTTATACCAAAGACAGAATAATTATTTCGACACAAGGGTAGGGTTAAGGGTTATGAATTTGGTTGTTTGATGGAAGTTCTTCCATCTAACGCTGAGACTTGTTATCAGATTGTGAACCCCCACCCCCCCTAAAAAAACGAAACAAACAAACAAAAAACAAAAACCAATCTGATGACAGGTAAATTGATGACGTGTTGATAACAACCAACTTGATGATGTGTTGAATAAATCAATAAAGAATACAATTTGCAATGCAATGTTAGTTTAACTCTTTTATATTACATCCTGAGTTATGCTTTTATATCTTCTATCAGAGTAAAACGCTGTTCCTATAAATTCCTATAGATACACTTGAAGTTGTAAAAAGGGAAAAAAACAAGTGTGTTTATCTTTAAAGGACATTGAAGAACAGACAATGGCATTAACAGCGTTCCTGTTTGTGGTGAGTATATGTAGCGGGGAATGTGTTTTCTAGATCCGAGGATCATTATATTTGTTAAGTCAGTTTTAAAGCTGCGACAGAGCAGACTAAAATGTTTTGCGTTCTACTTTAAAAGCTGATTAGGGTACGTGTGAATACGTGATATTATTGACCATGCTTGACCTTAGATTTGTAATTGCTGAAACACTAGTCACTCACCCTTCCTCATCGCTTCGTTCGTTTTACCTTTTTTTGTCTTTTTTAGTTATTTCCGTGTAAATAATTTCGTTTATCTTTTGCCTCGTTTTAACGATTTTGAGCATGAATCGATCGATATATTGTTAAGCTAAAAGTACAGTCTTGTTGTATTTTGACGTCTGGTTTGTAAACCCCCGACGTGAAGATCACATTTAACGATTATGATCAAATGTCTGTGGTTTTCTTACTTTCTTTTCGTATTTTTTTGTTGATTTTTTCCCTTTTTCTTCAAGTACTCGTTTAACCTCGCTTATAATAAATATCTCATTGTGGTAGATGTCCACGGAATCGACCCATTTACATTTCCCATTTTTATACAAATGTAGTTAAAAGAGTTGTATGTTATCACTTTGTAGTAATTAAAAGGATAAGGACCTTCCTTGTTTAAATTATTTCATATTTGATTATTTACACAAGAATTTCGAACACTTACTCAAATTTTCATCCAACATCGAAAGGATCTTACTTCCACTATTTGTATTCAATTTTGCCTCGAACTTCGATATTCGGTGAAACGTTTCACAACTTCTGAAGTGGTACATTAAAACTTTACTATGTGAGGCTAATTGAATGAACACTTTGTGAAACACATATGTCTTCATTGTGGTAATGATTTGACAGTTTTAGTTCAATAGATATGGTCCATGTTATTTTTTTTCAAATACAGGTCAAAGGTCACGGTCAAGGTCACAGGGTCAGAAAATGTTGGTACCACCAAAAAAGTTTGTCATAAGGAATAAATTTGCCAAATAGAAAAACCCTACCTTTTACGTTGCAATAGTTATGGTCAAGGTTAAAGTTGACAACTGACAGACAGACATCACAAAAACAATATGCCCCGGATCTTCCGATCCTGGGACATAAATATATACAAATTAATTTCTATTTCTTGACATTGCTCATAAAAATTTTATTTATTTATTGTGTCTGTTATTAGTATTTACGTATTGTTTTTGTCAGACCTGGAATGACGAGCGATTGGAATGGACGAACTACAGCAGAAGTGACAAAGAAGGGGTGCAATTATCGCGGTCCATCCCAAATATTTTTACATCAGAAAGTTATACCTGGCTTCCACCAATTAACATCGAAAATTCGTGAGTAAAATAAGAAATAATTACAAACGAAAAATATTTCAACTCTGTCATTTATATAATATATACATATGTGTATCGATAACATTTTAATCAGTAGCAGTTCATGGATTAACTGAGAACGCGTTAGTAGCTCTTGGTTTAATAGAGGGCACGATAGCAGGTCGTAGTTTAAAAGAGTGAGAGATAAGAACTCATGATGTAAAAGAGTGAGCGATAGCGGCTCGTGGTTTAATAGAGACCGCGTTAGCAATTCGTAGTTTAATACAGAGCTTAAAGCAGTAGTGGTTTGATAGAGAGCACCATAGCAGTTCGTGCTTTAATAGAGAGCACGATAGCAGTTCGTGGTTTAATAGAGACCGCGTTAGCAATTCGTAGTTTAATACAGAGCTTAAAGCAGTAGTGGTTTGATAGAGAGCACCATAGCAGTTCGTGCTTTAATAGAGAGCACGATAGCAGTTCGTGGTTTAATAGAGACCGCGTTAGCAATTCGTAGTTTAATACAGAGCTTAAAGCAGTAGTGGTTTGATAGAGAGCACCATAGCAGTTCGTGCTTTAATAGAGAGCACGATAGCAGTTCGTGGTTTAATAGAGACCGCGTTAGCAATTCGTAGTTTAATACAGAGCTTAAAGCAGTAGTGGTTTGATAGAGAGCACCATAGCAGTTCGTGCTTTAATAGAGAGCACGATAGCAGTTCGTGGTTTAATAGAGACCGCGTTAGCAATTCGTAGTTTAATACAGAGCTTAAAGCAGTAGTGGTTTGATAGAGAGCACCATAGCAGTTCGTGGTTTAATAGAGACCGCGTTAGCAATTCGTAGTTTAATACAGAGCTTAAAGCAGTAGTGGTTTGATAGAGAGCACCATAGCAGTTCGTGCTTTAATAGAGAGCACGATAGCAGTTCGTGGTTTAATAGAGACCGCGTTAGCAATTCGTAGTTTAATACAGAGCTTAAAGCAGTAGTGGTTTGATAGAGAGCACCATAGCAGTTCGTGCTTTAATAGAGAGCACGATAGCAGTTCGTGGTTTAATAGAGACCGCGTTAGCAATTCGTAGTTTAATACAGAGCTTAAAGCAGTAGTGGTTTGATAGAGAGCACCATAGCAGTTCGTGCTTTAATAGAGAGCACGATAGCAGTTCGTGGTTTAATAGAGACCGCGTTAGCAATTCGTAGTTTAATACAGAGCTTAAAGCAGTAGTGGTTTGATAGAGAGCACCATAGCAGTTCGTGCTTTAATAGAGAGCACGATAGCAGTTCGTGGTTTAATAGAGACCGCGTTAGCAATTCGTAGTTTAATACAGAGCTTAAAGCAGTAGTGGTTTGATAGAGAGCACGATAGCAGTTCGTGGTTTAATAGAGACCGCGTTAGCAATTCGTAGTTTAATACAGAGCTTAAAGCAGTAGTGGTTTGATAGAGAGCACCATAGCAGTTCGTGCTTTAATAGAGAGCACGATAGCAGTTCGTGGTTTAATAGAGACCGCGTTAGCAATTCGTAGTTTAATACAGAGCTTAAAGCAGTAGTGGTTTGATAGAGAGCACGATAGCAGTTCGTGGTTTAATAGAGACCGCGTTAGCAATTCGTAGTTTAATACAGAGCTTAAAGCAGTAGTGGTTTGATAGAGAGCACCATAGCAGTTCGTGGTTTAATAGAGACCGCGTTAGCAATTCGTAGTTTAATACAGAGCTTAAAGCAGTAGTGGTTTGATAGAGAGCACCATAGCAGTTCGTGCTTTAATAGAGACCGCGTTAGCAATTCGTAGTTTAATACAGAGCTTAAAGCAGTAGTGGTTTGATAGAGAGCACCATAGCAGTTCGTGGTTTAATAGAGACCGCGTTAGCAATTCGTAGTTTAATACAGAGCTTAAAGCAGTAGTGGTTTGATAGAGAGCACCATAGCAGTTCGTGCTTTAATAGAGACCGCGTTAGCAATTCGTAGTTTAATACAGAGCTTAAAGCAGTAGTGGTTTGATAGAGAGCACCATAGCAGTTCGTGGTTTAATAGAGACCGCGTTAGCAATTCGTAGTTTAATACAGAGCTTAAAGCAGTAGTGGTTTGATAGAGAGCACCATAGCAGTTCGTGCTTTAATAGAGAGCACGATAGCAGTTCGTGGTTTAATAGAGACCGCGTTAGCAATTCGTAGTTTAATACAGAGCTTAAAGCAGTAGTGGTTTGATAGAGAGCACGATAGCAGTTCGTGGTTTAATAGAGACCGCGTTAGCAATTCGTAGTTTAATACAGAGCTTAAAGCAGTAGTGGTTTAATAGAGAACACGATAGCAGTTCGTGGTTTAATACAGAACTTGTTATCAGTTCGTGGTTTAAGTATTCAGCGTCATCTCTTCTTCAGATGCATTTTTGACAATAAAGAATACCTTTCTGAGAATGGAATAGTGAAGTCATACATTTTTTTCAGAGTGTTGGACATGTCAATCATTAGTGACCCGGATGTCCCAATGCGTGTCAGGCACACGGGGGCTGTTGAATGGAATCCAGCTGGCATATTTACAGTACAATGCATGTGTGATGTCACCTTCTATCCTTTCGACACACAGATTTGCTCCTTAATCATAAGTACACGTGCTTACACAGAAAGGTAAGCTCCTTCAGTTAAACTCCTATGTTAATATACATATATTGTGGATAATAAGTAAAAAGGAAAACAGATATATATATATACATGCAGTATTCACATTTAATTGAGTTACCACTGGAATTCCGATTTTAATATGTCTCTTTTATCTTCCTTCTTTGTAGCGAGATTTCCCTGCGATTTTCCCAAAATCCAGTAAAACTGCAGGGCTATCAACAAAATGGCGAGTGGGAATTGATGAAGTACACTGTGGAGGAGAAAGTGAGCAGCACAGAAATTGACAAGGCTGATTATTCGTCCCTCCACGTGAACTTCACGATGAGAAGACGACCTCTATATGTGTTTATGAATACTATCATCCCCACTATGTTGCTGTCTTTCCTGAGCGCGCTGGTGTTCAAGCTGCCAGCGGATTCTGGAGAGAAGATTGGATACTCCTTGACGGTCCTGCTGGCCTACGCCGTGTACATGATGGCCATCTCGTCCAACATACCGGCATCGGCGCTCACCATATCTATCCTGTGTAAGTAAATCTACATGGAAAAATATTTAACCTCGGTCAAAGCTGTAAGGTAAAACTCACGTGTCATTTATATCACGTGACAACATCAATTTATGGCATCATGCAGTTGTAAGATAAAATGAAATAACGTAGCTTTGGTCAGAATCATTTATTTAATATTTGTCTAATCGCTAATATAAAATTACGAAGTCGTTTAGCACCCAAAAGTTATGATTCTTGTTTGGGTCTTCTTTGTTCCTGGTTTTTTGTTTTTTGTTTATTTGATATTTTCATCGACAATGTTTCTTTTTTACGTAGTAAAATACTTCCGTGAGAAGAGTTTGTGTTCTTGCTTCTACGCTACAATATATAATCAAATGTTTCATTTTCTTACACATTCCAGCCGTGTACACTGTCATCGTGCTGATTATGGGAGTTGTCGCTGTTCTCCTATCCATTGTCGTTCTGGATTGCTACCACAGAGACCCGGATGAGGAAGTGACGGAATGGGTAAGAAACTGTACACTTAGATGCCTGTTAGTCTTAAGTGGATGGAAGCCATCTCGTCATCCCGTAGGAAAACATGTCAAGAAGTCTAGTGTCGTTCCTTGGGATGGACACTTTAATCAAATCGCTGATATTTCTGTGTGCGACTGGGATCAGAAGAAAACAAAGGAAGTGGACGAAAGCCAGACAGAGAAACAAGAACGTAAACAAAAACCTGACCCCAGAATTGCGTGGTTGGGTAAGAATATTTCATGGAAGGACATTTCCAGAATATTGGACCATTTTTTTCTACGACTGTACGTATGTGTACTGTTTGTTATCACCGGCTTTGTGGCTATCCTGTTTTCGGTGGGATACGTTGGTGTATAATTATCTCCAGACAAATACTAACATGCAGACGTCTGTATATACTTTTCCATTTTCACAATTTCGAATTTTCCGTTTCTGTATAGCAATATCCGTGCATCCCCAACCTATGATGTTAATATGTCGCAGTTAATTCGATATTCAAGTGCCTGTTCGCATTACGATTACGATTTTTGTGCAAGATGTCGGCAACTAACAGACAAATTAACATCACGGGATTTCGTAGATTTACGGTCGTCACAATGATTGCGTCGAAAAATAATCTTGAATCTACATCTCGCCCACTAACAAAAACTATGTCATTAGACAAATAAACCTGATTTTGTTCTGCTTTCAAAATGATTGTTGTGACATAAATGTTCACTGATATGAAGAAAAAGACACACATGGGAAAAACAATGTTTTTAGTTCGATGCAATAAAGCTGATCAATTAATTGGACTGTATCATACAGCTGTTTCCATCTAGGATTCATCAATGATGCTAAGGGCCTAAAGTTGAAGCCTAGGAGGTGACTGAGAAAAATCTAAAGTTATCCAAAGAAAAGTAAAAATCTAGACGGGGAGATGCAGCAACACCATAATTAAACAAATTTCGTAATTTTCATCAATCAGATAATTCTAGAACAGCATCAAGGATGTTAATATTCAAAGTCACCGGCCTTGTATTAATGTAAAAAAGTGGAAAAAAGGTCATCCGCGTTTCGTCATCGTGTATCATACAGCAATCACAGAGAGTTACACTATGACAAAATCAATTTATGTTAAATACTCCTAGAGTCAATAGTGACTAATTGTTATTGATTGACACTCAAAGCTGTAAATTGTTCAACACTGACACACATGGCGGTAAATTGTTCAACACTGACATACATGGCGGTAAATTGTTCAACACTGACACACATGGCGGTAATTTTTTCAACACTGACACACATGGCGGTAAATTGTTCAACACTGACATACATGGCGGTAAATTGTTCAACACTGACACACATGGCGGTAATTTTTTCAACACTGACACACATGGCGGTAAATTGTTCAACACTGACACACATAGTGGTAAATTGTTCAACACTGACACTCATGACGGTAAATTGTTCAACACTGACACTCATGACGGTAAATTGTTCAACATGACACTCAAAGCGGTAAATTGTTCAACATTGACACTCAAAGCGGTAAATTGTTCAACATGACACTCAAAGCGGTAAATTGTTCAACACTGACACTCATGACGGTAAATTGTTCAACATGACACTCAAAGCTGTAAATCGTTCAACATTGACACTCATACCGGTAAATCGTTCAACATTGTTACCCATGGCGGTAAATTGTTTAACACTGACACTCAAAGCGGTAAATTGTTCAACACTGACACACATAGTGGTAAATTGCTCAACACTGACACTCATACCGGTAAATCGTTCAACATTGTTACCCATGGCGTTAAATTGTTCAACATGACACTCAAAGCGGTAAATTGTTCAACATGACACTCAAAGCGGTAAATTGTTCAACACTGACACACATAGCGGTAAATTGTTCAACACTGACACACATAGTGGTAAATTGTTCAACATGACACTCAAAGCGGTAAATTGTTCAACACTGACACACATAGCGGTAAATTGTTCAACACTGACACACATAGTGGTAAATTGCTCAACACTGACACTCATGGCGGTAAATCGTTCAACATTGAAACACATGGCGGTTAATTGTTCAACACTGACACACAGTGGTAAATCGTTCAACATTGACACAAATGGCGGTAAATTGTTCAACACTGACACTCAATGCGGTAAATTGTTCAACACTGACACTCAAAGCGGTTAATCGTTCAACATTGACACTCATGCCGGTAAATCGTTCAACATTGTTACCCATGGCGTTAAATTGTTCAACACTGACACTCAAAGCGGTAAATTGTTCAACACTGACACACATAGTGGTAAATTGTTCAACACTGTCACACATAGCGGTAAATTGTTCAACACTGACACTCATAGTGGTAAATTGTTCAACACTGGCACTCAAAGCGGTGAAGACAACACTGACACACATGGCGGTGATTGGAATAACACTGACCCTTATGGTATTAAGTAGTATAAACGTTGTATGTGCACTTAACGTGAATATATCTTTGTGTTGAAGTCTCCGTCACCATGGATTAAATGATGCTGTAAGTGATTCTTTCAATGTTTCATGTTCGTTCAAAAACAAAAGATGCCAGCTGCAGACAATGTGACGATGAAACCAACAAAATGTGCTTAGTTCATCAGCAACCAGCAACTTATTAATTTTGATATACATACAACCTTTCTCTGTGCTTTAGTATAACTGGTATGTACCCATGTTGTACGTATTTATTGATATTGTTTTCACACTATGATATATGGGTTCTTTCTTAAATGAGCTTTAGAAGAATACAGGGAAAGAGCATCAATTGAAATGTAGATTCTTCCTTGAATGTTAAAACATATTGGAAAAAAAATACAATGTGTTACACTGCTGTTTGTATTTTTTATATTGGTTTTAATGTACTCGCGATTTCGCGCAGGTAGGGGGTGGGGGTGGGGAATTATTTTGTTTTGTCTGTTTGATCGATCTGGTTCCGAAATAAAAATTAAAAAAAAAAAAAGAGTGAGGATGGATGTGAAAGAAGATACTTTAGAAGAAGCTGTTTTTATAGTATGTTGAACATGGTCATGGCACTTGCAGTCACTACTGAAAAACACTCCAAGTTGGCAATGAAAATTAGTGAACGTAAGCGGTACATTAGTATAAATAAGGTTTGTTTTTTTTTTTGGAAGAAGTGGACTAGATGAAAAAAGAATGGCGTAGCGAGGCCTTCATTATTAATGTAAAATAAAAACAATTGCATGCTTGGGGGTGTATTAGAATCATCAATACTGGATATGGCAAAAAAGGTTTTATTGAGTACTTAAGTCAGTGGCGTAAGGTATTTTGATTACAGCATTGTAATCATTCGAAATTATTAAAAAGACCAGCATATATAAAGATTATAAAGATTTTAATCTCACTTTTCACATTTGTCAAAAACAACTTTACGATACAAAAGATGAGATAAAGAAATATACAACACAATACCAATCTAAAACGTAGATTTAAGGGAAGATTGTACCATGAAACATCAAAAAGTTACGAAAAATTTTAAAGTGGTTATCTACCACAAAAAGACATCATTCTGATCCTCCGGTATTGGTTTAAACGAATTGCAACTTTCGAGACTTTGCTGCCGCGAAGTCATCAATGACAGTATCTATGTCAACCTGAGTGTCCCGATGGGTATGGAGGACAGCAAGAGCAGACAGCCGTTCTGTCGTCATTGTTGTCCGGAGGTAGGTCTTAATTCGTCTCATCGAGCTGAAAGATCGTTCGGCTGATGCAGTCGATGTCGGCATTGAGAGAAGTACACTAAAGATATTTCTAATGTTTGGGTATAGATCTCGACTTGTCCGATCCAGGATTTCGCAGAGACCTCTTGGTCGGTCCTTTAGTGGAATGGCTACCCATCTGGTTCTCCATCGCCGAACTTCCGTCAGGTAAGACGCCTTGTCGGACAGGTCTACTTCAAAGGCATCAAACACTGCGTTGACAATATCGTCAGTGAGTTGCTGAAGATTACGTGGGAAGAGCGTCTCTGCTTTGAATCTACCCTCGCTATCCAATAGCCGTGTCTCCAGCTCTGTGATCAAATGGTCAAGAAAAACCAAGAACAGACTAACTTTCCAATATTGCCTTGGGTCGGGTATCTGGTAGTTTGCACGTTGCTGCTGTCGTCCAGTTTGTCTCGGGACGCAAGGTTGAATACCGTATTCTGCGGCTACGCCGACAGCCTGGTCAAACAGCTCATTCCAAACATCATCATCCGCTCGTTCATTTCTGAGCATACTTATTACAGTCCTGCATTCAGTGGCGGCTTCCATAAGGTCGCAGTCTACTGACTGTAGATGGTTGGAAAGCGCAACAGTGCCGCTGAGGATGTGTTCAGTAACGACCAGCCCAATGATAAACTCGAACCTCAAAATTGCTGCCAATCTTCCACCCGCTTTGTCATCTCCGTCGTTCTTCAACGCCTCCAAACTACTAACGATGACACTGAATGAAGCCTTGAACGTGTGTAAGGCATCAGCACGACTAGACCATCTCGTTTCGCACAGTGTTCTCAGTTTGGTCCTAGACTCCATTTGATCTTTGGCGTTTTGGTCACCGAGGAGCTCATTTTTGAAGTACTGCAAGCGCTTTGCTGAATAATCGAAAGCAAAAGCGATATCCTGCACCGTTCCCATGATGGTCCGTACACAGGCTTGGGAAGAGGAATGAACAAGGGCAAGATTTAACTGGTGCGACTTGCAATGCACATAGGTGGCATGCGGAGCTGTTTGTCTTATAATTGCCTGTACACCGCGAAATTTTCCAGACATGTTCGATGCCCCATCATACCCCTGAGCCCTTAATTTTGCAATGTCCAGGCCAAAGTTCCGAAGAGCTTGTATGATTTCAGGAGCCAAGTCCTCCCCCTTAATGCTCTTAACATGTATGAAACACAAAAAGTCTTCTTTAACACATATTTCACCGTTTTCTGTCGTATCAAGGTAACGCACACAGACAGACAATTGCTCTTTGGTAGATTTGTCTGTACATTCGTCTGCAAGAACGGCGATGTACGGTGACTCCTTAATTCGAAGTGTAATTGCTTTGGTGACATGAGACGCCAGTATTTCAATTAATTCGTTCTGGATATCTGGAGATGTGTACTTTAACTGCGCGTTAGGGTTGGAGATGTGATCTTGGACCACAAGATCATCTGCACACAGAACATTCAAAATTGCCCAAAAATTGCTCTTTTCTTCAGTGTGCCCCCTGATTGCAATGTTTTGCCGACCACACAGCAGCAACACCTCGATTATCTTTTTCAATATGTGTCTGTTTTTGTTGACATCTGCTTTGTGAGAAGAGTCGAGTTTTGATACAATTGAGT